TTGACCTGGCCTGGCCTTTATAATTTACAAAGAATAATGGCTATTTAAAGATTTTCAATCTTTCATTTTGCCTGCATGCCATCAAAGAGTTTTGTTTATGGTTGCTGACCATACCGTCCGGAAGCCAAGCTTTACTGGGACCTTAGCTGAGGTGGAAAGATGAAACAAGATTGGCAAGAAATTAAGCTGTGAATATCATTGTTTGCATGAAGGACCCATCAGCCTGTGCCATCTAGAGTTTCATGACACAACTATATATATATATTGGCGATGTGAGCATAATGGAGCACTAAACACTCATGTAGTGCAATCACCTGTATCTGTTATCCATAAGCCTCGTTAACAGCAGCAGATAAAAGCGCACACCTTGCACCAGTTCAGTGTGTCCAGTCTCGTTTCTGTGGACTGCTTACCTGTCTCCAGCAATATCCTCCTGTGAAATCTCCAGCATCTGTTCTCCATTGTGTGTACCTGTTGTTCTTTTGTGTATCTCCGTACTTATCAGTCAGTGAGGTGTGTGTGTGTGTGTGTGTGTGTGTGCGTGTGTTTGCTTCAGTCATCTGTCTGTCCAGCCATGAGAAAATTTCTGCCAATGCTGTCAATAAAACCTCATTCTCTGTCTCTGAGTCTAAATGATGCAACAACACAGTCACACACTTACAGATCTACATAAAGATATTGAAATATTTCATCTTTGAAAGTTTTAACTGCCTTTTGCTTCATGGAAAATCATATTGAGTCAATATAAAGTTCAGTATCTTTCTTGAATGATATAAAGTGTTAAAGCTGACTGCAGTTCTCCAGAAAACCATTTAATACATTTTCATAAAACAAATTAGCCATCAATATTCTTTGTGATTGAAATAACAAACAATTTGCCAAAATAGTCTTACAAATGAACCAAAAAGTATTTCAAATCAATTTCACCTTTGAATTACAAAGTAATGTTTCACTGGGTAAATCCTATTTGTAATTTTAAATTATAGCCTACCACTTTGTTTGTGAATGCAATTTTGATTATGAGCTGAAACTTTTCCTGCTCAGCTATTCCAATAAGGCAAAGACCGTTTCTGTGACATTTTACATTCCCTTTGTAAGGTGTTTGTTAATGACTAACTCGTTGACTAATTAATCATAAATCCATGAGTCATTTTTAACTTGTAAGTGTATTTATTCACACTTATTTTATTCAAAACCAGATTCCTGATTTATTGCAAAATAGTGTGACTGAAGGGTTTTTGTTTGGTTTTGTCAATATCTCATGACACATTTCTTACTATAACGTTGGATATTCTGCAAAAAGGTCATGATGCCTATGGTATCCACAGCAATGTATAAACGTATTTCTTGTTAATCAACATGAAATCATCAACATTAATAATTAATGTTTATTCCAGTATAGTTACCTGTGAACCTCAATGTAGGATGGACACCTGTGAACCATTTATTCATGAGTTATAAACATTAGTAACACAAAAGTGAACATTATGTAAAGTGGACACACGTGAGTCATGTATTTATTAATCATACACACACAGAAGATAGTATTTTTTTCTACATTTAAATATTTTATTGATGCACTATATCAATAAGCACAACATTTAGCTTGAAACAAAAAAAGATTAAACTTTTCTTTTACAGCACATTGGAAAATGACTGAACATGACAGTGGCTTATGCAAGTACACTCACATAAAACAATTCAGAGTGTTCCAACAAAAGATAACACCTATAAGCCAAGAAATGTGATAAGTCAATCTGACTTACTACAATCCGAATAAAGGCATTTAAATATGTATTTTATTTAACTGTTGTGTAATAGTCATTCATTCAAAGAGAAATTCATCAATGCAATGAAAACTTTGTCTGACCTCAACATGGAAGAACCCACCAACTCACAGCTCATACATCAGCTGACACACCCACGTCTGCCCTCTGCGATCCTATTGGCCATTGGAGGATGGAGTGGTGGCAGTAAACCATGTGAAGGCAAGGCAGACCGCTGGCCTGGGTCAGTGTGACTCAAGAAGATGAGTATCCCAGAGCCCACCATGGTACAGCAGTCCTGGATGAGTTTGTCTGTAGCCTATATGACAGAATGGCATATTGAGTAAATTCAATCGCATCAGACCATGAGGCAAGTAATGTTGTTGGTCAGCATATAACTTTGATTTATCTTCCTTTCCAACGGTGATGGTATCTGATTTTACTTTCATATGGACCACAGTACTCCAAGTAGCCTACAATTTAAAAAATCATGTTAATACCATACTAGAGTAATACTAGAGATCAGAGGAGAATGGGCCGACTGATTCAAGCTGATAGAAGAGCAACTTTGACTGAAATAACCACTCGTTACAACCGAGGTATGCAGCAAAGCATTTGTGAAGCCACTACACACACAACCTTGAGGCGGATGGGCTACAACAGCAGAAGACCCCACCGGGTACCACTCATCTCCACTACAAATAGGAAAAAGAGGCTACAATTTGCAAGAGCTCACCAAAATTGGACAGTTGAAGACTGGAAAAATGTTGCCTGGTCTGATGAGTCTCGATTTCTGTTGAGACATTCAGATGGTAGAGTCAGAATTTGGCGTAATGGATCCATCATGCCTTGTTACAACTGTGCAGGCAACTCATCCCAAGACGTCATATAACTGACGTTTTGGGACGTCTTTTGACCATACGTCAATATTCGCCTTTTTAGGGCCCCCTTAAACGTCGGTAGATGAGGTTATGGGATTCTAACTCTACCCCATACCTAAACCTAACCCTAAACCTAACCCGTCACCTAACTGACGTTAAAGGTAAAGCGTCAGTTGTATGACGGCCCGGGATCGCCATCTACCGACGTTTAAGGGGGCCCTAAAAAGGCGGATATTGACGTATGGTCAAAATACGTCCCAAAACGTCAGTTATATGACTTTTTGGGATGAGACTGTGTTAGTGCAGGCTAGTAGTGGTGGTGTGTTGGGGACGTTATTTTAGGTCCCTAAGTGCCATCATTTAAATGCCACGGCCAACCTGAGCATTGTTTCTGACCATGTCCATCCCTTTATGGCCACCATGTACTGTACATGGTGGCCATAAAGGGATGGACAGTCGACAAAAAACACTCTGTCAAGCATGTATAACGTGAACATGTTTTTTTTTTTAGCTCTGACACCTCCAGCACAGGCAAATATTGACCTGGACTGGCCTTTAAAATATACAAAGAATAATGGCTATTTAAAGATTTTCAATCTATTATTTTGCCCAGGACCCATCAGCCTGTGCCATCTGAGTTTCATGACACAACTATATATTGGCGATGTGAGCATAATGGAGCACTAAACACTCATGTAGTGCAATCACCTGTATCTGTTATCCATAAGCCTCGTTAACAGCAGCAGATAAAAGCGCACACCTTGCACCAGTTCAGTGTGTCCAGTCTCGTTTCTGTGGACTGCTTACCTGTCTCCAGCAATATCCTCCTGTGAAATCTCCAGCATCTGTTCTCCATTGTGTGTACCTGTTGTTCTTTTGTGTATCTCCGTACTTATCAGTCAGTGAGGTGTGTGTGTGTGTGTGTGCGTGTGTTTGCTTCAGTCATCTGTCTGTCCAGCCATGAGAAAATTTCTGTCAATGCTGTCAATAAAACCTCATTCTCTGTCTCTGAGTCTAAATGATGCAACAACACAGTCACACACTTATAGATCTACATAAAGATATTGAAATATTTAATCTTTGAAAGTTTATGCCTTTTGCTTCATGGAAAATCATATTGAGTCAATATAAAGTTCAGTTTCTTTCTTGAATGATATAAAGTGTTAAACCTGACTGCAGTTCTCCAGAAAACCATTTAATACATTTTCATAAAACAAATTGGCCATCAATATTCTTTGTGATTGAAATGACAAACAATTTGCCAAAATAGTCTTACAAATGAACCAAAAAGTATTTCAAATCAATTTCACCTTTAAATTTTACAAAATAATGTTTCACTGGGTAAATCCTATTTGTAATTTTAAATTACCACTTTGTTTGTGAATGCAATTTTGATTATGAGCTGAAACTTTTCCTGCTCAGCTATTCCAATAAGGCAAAGACCGTTTCTGTGACATTTTACATTCCCTTTGTAAGGTGTTTTTTAATGACTAACTCGTTGACTAATTAATCATAAATCCATGAGTCATTTTTAACTTGTAAGTGTATTTATTCACACTTATTTTATTCAAAACCAGATTCCTGATTTATTGCAAAATAGTGTGACTGAAGGGTTTTTGTTTGGCTTTGTCAATATCTCATGACACATTTCTTACTATAAAGTTGGATATTCTGCAAAAAGGTCATGATGCCTATTGTATCTACAGCAATGTATAAACTTATTTCTTGTTAATCAAGATGAAATCATCAAACTTTATTTTGAGAAGAAAAAAAATCACAAGCACAACCATAACTTGATGAGACATTAATAATGAATGTTTATAGCCTACCAGTATAGTTACCTGTGAACCTCAATGTATGAATCTATACATTGATTTAACTCATAGTCTTTGCTGAACTCTGTGAGAAGCATTGATTTTGTGATCTTTTTATTACAATAGGCATAGCTTAATCTACACATGAAAATATACATTTTGTGTTATGTTAAACAGCCGTCTACAATCATGTTTGCATTGTCATTATTATAATTTGCATTATTATTTTATTATAATTATTATACACATACACAATGATATATAATCATTCTCAGTCTGAATAATTATCATTTATCTATAAAATAATTCTAAACAAACTTAATATTTAAAAAGGTTTGAATACAGATATCTGCAGAAGCATGTCCATCATAATTAGCCAACAGATATAATATTTCTACTTCCACGTCACCCGATTTTGCAAGTAGAAGAGTCCCATACTTGGCTGTACAAGGCTGTTTAGCGCTGTCTAGTGTTTGAGACATTACAGTGCATTGGCATTGTTTTGGTTTAGACTGACGTCACTTCCTGTATTTTAAATATGGCGGAGAAACGCATGAAAATGTCGCTCTGGTTTTGGAGCTTATAAAAGTTATTTTTGGACATTTATTTGCTGCTGACAAGAACACATCCCAAAGCAAAACAAAGGTACATTTCGACTGCTGATGAAGCGGTATACTGATATTCAGTATTCTGCAGCGTTTGACTGAATGAATGGAATAACGTTACATAATAATTTTAATTCTGATATTGTTTATTTACACTGACGTCCTACGGAATTCTGTTCAATTTACCACAATAGTTTGTGTGCAGAATTAAATAGAATTAAAGCTGCAGTCTGACATATTGCAGTGTAATAGTGCAGAATACGTGATTCTGTAAAGGAGAGAATGTGTGTAGTTTTGTAACTGTAAGAGATTTTGTTTAAACATCTGTACTTATTTGCACTATTGTATTCATCTTAACAATACTGTTTCAAAATGAAGTGGTGTATAATTCTGCTCATGCTTGCTGTTACATTTAGTCTCACTTGATTTGAAGCATTTTTAATTCAAAATAGTAAATAAATAGGATAATTCAACTTTGTGTCATCTTATCTCTGCAGGTTTCCACTATGAGCAGCCGAAGGAAACGTGCGCCGCCGGTGCGCATGGACGAGGAGGCCAAGAGGAGACTGGAGTGGGATATGCTTGAAGATCGAAAAAATGAAGGAGATTATGAAGACATTCAGGGGTCAATCCCAGCACCGTCGGTCAACTGTCAGCCTGGACCAGTGCTTGAGAGCAGCCAGGAAGAGGAAAGCCCGTGTTTTATATCTTCTGCAGGCACAGAGGAAGGACCAGGAGGGCGTCCAAGCTGCTCCATACAGGATTCTCTTCCGGATACCACAGAACTCAATGTGATCCCCCTTTCTGCTCTCGAACAGGGGTGGAACGCCCTGATTGGAGAGTTTGACCTCTATCCAAAGATTCCTTTTGTGCTTGGAGACGATTCCTTCTGCCTGCAGAAAACAGGTGACAATCTAAGTCTGAGTCTGGATAGTCATGAATTAGAGGTTGAGACGGGCAGAAGTGATCCTCTCTGCCCTGTGCCGATTGAATGCTGCTTTGGTGGAAAATTGTTGGAGGACCTGGATTGGCTACAGAAGAGAAAGGTCATTAAATTGTGCCATGCTTCAGGAGATGAATCAGTAAAGGTGTGTATTTCAAAATCGTCAGGATTGAGTGGTTTTGTGACTGTGGATTCAATAATCCCTAAAACACAACATTAACGAATCACTTAACGTGTTTTCTCTCCATTTGCTTTTTTGAACAGCTGAAAATCTTTCTTCTCGAATCAGGATTGGGCAGACCAGAATTCCTCAGTGAAGGAAATGGGCGCATTAAAAAAGCCAATCAGCTTCTGCAGAAATTAATGGAATTCTTCTATGACTTCATCATCCCCGGTAATCTTAAAGGGATACTACACCGTTTTTTCATATTAAACTATGTTATTCCCTTAAAGGATTAGTTCACTTTTGAAAAAACATTTGCTGATAATTTACTCACCCCCATGTCATCCAAGATGTCCATGTCTTTCTTTCCTCAGTCGAAAAGAAATTAAGGTTTTTGATGAAAACATTCCAGGATTTTTCTCCATATAATAATGGACTTCAATGGGAACCGGATGGTTCAAGGTCCAAAAGACAGTTAATAACAGTTTCAGATGCAGCTTCAAATGTCTTTAAACGACACCAGACGATGAATAAGGGTCTTATCATGCGAAACGATCGGTTATTTCAAAACTTATTCCAAAAATGTAACTTTTCTAAGGACAAATGCTAGCCTTGCTTTATTCTGTGAGGTGCGTTTGTAACGTCACGTAATACGTAATTACGTTCAAAAGGTCACGGACGACGTAGCCGGAAGTACAGAATCAAAATCTTTTGACATCATTGTTTTACCTTTTAATTCCTTTTTTTGTAAACGGCGCTTGAGTTTGTTTGCACGTTCAACCTATGCGTTCAACTTGTAAACACTGACTCTGTAGGGTCATTGGACTTCCCATTGAAGTCCATTATATGGAGAAAAATCCTGGAATGTTTTCATCAAAAACCTTAATTTCTTTTCCACTGAGGAAAGAAAGACACGGACATCTTGGATGACATGGGGGGAGTAAATTATCAGCAAAAGTTTTTTCAAAAGTGAACTAATCCTTTAACTAAGACAAGTTGATACATACCTCTCTCGTCTCGGTGCGTGCACTCAATCGCTCTGGCGCGCGAGACACTTTCATCGCACCTAACTAGCCCAGTTCATAACTATATTATATGGCGGAATACCACAGCAAGTGCTTGGGAGCACTTCGACTCGGCGCAGTAATATCATCACTCCAGAGAGGGAGAGGACTTTTTACGAGTGATGATGTGACTACGCAGAGTCGAAGTGCTCCCAAGCACTTGCTGTGGTATTCCGCCATACAATATACTTATCCACTTTACACGCTTAGAAAAGTGCAACGTTTTATTTTGTGTCACCATTCTTCGAGTTACACGTCGAGTTACACTGCTCGAGTAACTGTATTTAAATAGGGAAAACGTGGATGTGTTTGGTCGCTTCTCTGCTTGGCCCATATTGAATGAACTGGGCTAGTTAAGTGCTATCAAAGTGTCTCGCGCACCAGAGCGATTGAGTGCACACACTGAGACGAGAGAGGTATGTATCAACTCATCTTAGTTAAGGCAATAACATAGTTTAATATGAAAAAACGGTGGAGTATCCCTTTAAATATAATTTTAATATTCCACCATTTAGATTACTAGCAAAAAGTGAGGGGGTCACATCAAAAGTACATTATTTGTCATTTTGTAAAAGCAAACAGGTAACATAAATACAGTGATGCACTTGAGCCTGGAGGTGAAGCTGCACTCCAAGCCCACAAAAATTGATTTCGAACAAACAATAAATGCAAATTTTTTGATTAAATAATACAATACTTTAACAGTACAGTACTATGATGAGTTAAAAAAAATGTTATGTAATATTTTAGACACATTTATAATATGTCTTTATGCAGGATGATGCCTTTTAAAGAAGAACTCCGGTCAATTTTAACATTGAGCTCATTTTTTGTACGTTTGGAGTGTCTTTCACTTTTTTTGTACGTATCTTTCACGTCTACTGCAGTCAGATTGACCGTGGTCACTCTTAATAACACCACTCACATGGCTGTGCACTCGTAATGACAAATCAAGGATGTTAAGAGGCTAAAAGCAGGTTTAGAACTTGCCCCACTGAAGTCAACAGGGTGCGAATTTTAAAAAGAAATCGTGCATAGTGCAAAACACTGTGTAGGCAACACCGATTTTTGTCGTTTTTGTCTGTAGTCTGTACTGACAGCACTCCAAATGCACAAAAAAATGAGCTCAATGTTAAAATCGACCGGAGTTCTCCTTTAAACCTATTTAAACCTACCTGTGAGATTAATGGTGCTAAAATGTATTTTTCATTTTTATAAACTGCAGCTGAAATTATGCATATTCTGTGCATAGACATTAGTTCCTGTAATAGTTTTTTTTTCTATTGTGATTTTTATTTTTTAGAGGTGATGGACAACGAAGAGGAGGAGTGTGACACTGATCTGGAGCGTCAGAACGTTGAGGAGCTGTACGATCATGTCAGACACCTCCACCTGACCGAAGCAGCGGAGCAGAGTTTCGACGTCCAGCACCCGGGCCTCATACCTGTGCTGAGACCCTATCAGAGTCAGGCGGTCAGCTGGATGCTGAGGAGAGAGAAGTACAAAAGCAGCAGCTCTCAAGGTTTTTCAAAGCTTTATCATCATCTTTGCTGTATGTCAGTGCATGAGAATAGTTCAGTGCTAATATAAAGTCTTTGGATTCCTTGCACAGAGCAACGGTTGCATTTCCTTTGGAGGGAAATCATCACGATTTGTGGCAAAAAACTCTTTTACAATCCTTACTCTGGATGGTATGATTCTTTTTCTACTTTGAGCAGTAAATACTGAAACTGTAGTTAAAACTGATGTGCATGAACTATCCAATAACATCAATAGCATTTAATTTTGTAGATCAGTCTTGCTTGTTCTAATTACCTTGAGCTCAATCACAGCTTGATCCGAGAGTTTCCTCTGGCTGGAGTGGACTGGCCTGGTGGGATCCTTGCTGATGAGATGGGGCTTGGGAAAACCGTGGAAGTACTGGCCCTTATTCTGTGCAACACCCGGCAAAACCTGGAGCATGGGGTTCTCACTTTACCTGTGGTAAGTTTACAATTACATGTGCCCTTAAATGCTTGTAAAATATTTGACACTGTCAAATGATAAAGCTTCCATTAGTTTATGTATTAACTAAAAATTAGGGCTGTGCAAAAATTAATTGCATCCAAAATAAAAGTCTGTGTTTACATAATATATTTGTGTGTGCTTTATATAATTATTTTGTATATATAAATACCTATGCATGCATGTATATATTTAATAATTATTTGTGCTTAAATTCTGTATATATATAAATACATGATCTATATTATATAAATATAAATATTTAATATATGAATAACACATTTTCTTAAATATATACATGCATGTGTGTGAATTTATATATACAAAATAATTAGATACAGCACATACAAATATATTATGTAAACACAGACTTTTATTTTGGATGCGATTAATCGCAACTAATTTTTGCACAGCCCTACTAAAAATGCAATACATTTGTTAACGCATTTATTCATCTTTGTTAAAGGGTTAGTTCACCCAAAAATGAAAATGATGTCATTAATGACTCACCCTCATGTCGTTCCAAGCTTCAATCTTCAAAACACAGTGTAAGATATTTCAGATTTTGTCTGAGAGTTTTCTGTCCCTCCATTGTAAATGTATACACGATATACTGTCCTTGTCCAGAAAGGAAATACAGAGACAACATCAAAGTAGTCCATGTGACATCAGTGGGTTAGTTAGAATGTTTTGAAGCATCGAAAATACTTTATTTTGGTCCAAAAATAACAAAAACTACGACTTTATTCAGCATTGTATTCTCTTCCGGTTCTGTTGTCAATCCGCGTTCAGTGACACTGGTAATGTAAGACGCTGCTGACGTGTATCTGGTGCGCCCGAGCTTCTTTTACAGTCTGAGGGGGACACACACGCTGTAAACAAAACAATCTTCGCAAACATGTCTAAGGATTTCGACACTGAGGAAGACTTGTATTTTTTTTTGCCCAGCCATATTTATTTGAACCCGGATACACGGACGCACCAGATAACACGTCAGCAGCGTCACTGCGGACTAGTGAACGCGGATTGACAGCAGAACCGGAAGAGAAAACAATGCTGAACAAAGTCGTAGTTTTTGTTATTTTTGGACCGAAATGTATTTTCGACGCTTCAAACTACTTTGGAGTTTGATGATGTCTTTATTTCCTTTACATACATTTTCAATGGAGGGACAGAAAGCTCTCGGACTAAATCTAAAATATCTTAAACTGTGTTCTGAAGATGAACGGAGGTCTTACGGGCTTGGAACGACATGAGGGTAAATCATTAATGACATCATTTTCATTTTTTGGGTGAACTAACCCTGTAACGATAAACAAATACAACTGTTCTTTGTTAGCTCATGTCCATTCAATACTATTATACATATACAGCTTTATATTTTAATAATGTATCACTAAATGTTGAAATTAACATTAAATAAAATCAATAAATGCTTTAGAAGTATTTTTTATTGGTGATTCATGTAATTAATATAGGGAGCACACAGGTACAGGTACTGGTACAGGTATCAGCAGAAAAAAAGTACATTTGTCCGTCCATTGACAGCTACGCAACTACCACTTTGACGCTTTAAAAAGTGCATAAAGAGATTGTAAAACTAATCCATTTGAATTGAGTGGTTCAGTCCAAGTTGTCTGAAGAGACTCGATCACTTTATATGATGAGCAGATTTAATTTAGAAGTATTCACATTGTAACATTGATCAGCGAACATAAACAGAAGCTGAACCACTGACTTTATTAACAAATGTAACCTTACTGTAAAGTGTTACTGAATTTTCTAATTAAATGACAAGGGAAAATTAAATATTTATTTGGCTTTCCATAAATTAGTAAAAAAAAAAATTGGTTTGTTTTACTGTTGTGTCTCTGTCCTCCCCAGGGACAATCTGTGAATTACTTTGTCCCTCCTCCACCATTAGAGAAACAACGAACCATTAAACATGAGGTGAGACCCAAGGAGAAGATCATTTATCCAGGTAAACAAGTTTTTTAACAGCTTTCATTTTATCAAATGTGGTGTAACCAAACAGAACATGTTCCTGGATCAACATCCTGATTGGTCCTAGAGCAGAATTTTTGGGGTAGGGGACAAATAATTTTATTAACATGTCACAGGGTAGATAGAGGTTGTTGATTCAAGAACATATGGCAAGCCGTTTAAACATTTAATCATTTTAACCTACTAGCCTTTGTTTTCATGCTACTAGTACTTATTTTTTAGATCCTAGTACTTATTCATTAGATACTAGTCCTTATTTATTAGATACTAGTCCTTATTTATTAATTACTAGTAGTTATTCATTAGATACTAGTATTTATTTATTAGATACTAGTACTTATTCATTAGATTCTAGTCCTTATTTATTAGATACTAGTGCTTATTTATGTAAGCAATAAGGTACGAGAGGCTGTGCTGTATCGTGAATAAGTAACGGCTGAAGTGCGTTGTTAGGCACGACGCGAAGCGGAGTTCACGATACAGCACTTGCCTCAAATACCTTATTGCTTTTATAAAACGGTTGCCACACAATATTATAGTAAAAAACAATGTATTAGTGCAACTTTCATGTAGTTAAATCAATAAAACCATTCCTTCCGCTAGAAAAATATAGTCCCTGACCATGAACAACAACGTTCCAATGTGTAATATGCAGGAAAGCTCAAATAAAAACTTTGTCTCATTCTTTTTATTTTTTTACAACACAAAATTTGTGAAATTTCCTCACACAAATATGCATAGCTTATCTCTCAGCAAAATAACAAATAAAATAAAAATAAAAAGACAAGGGCACATATTTTGATAGATAACAGTTAGGTCTTTTAATCTAGTTATTAATTTAGTTGCTAAAATGCTGCCTAACAAGAGATACTTTATTTATTGTTGTTTATTTAAATTTATTTGAACATCTCCGTTTATTGTGCACGCGTTAAATATTTGTCTCATTTCAATCAGCTCCACTGTGGTGATATTTAACGCGGTCCTCTTTAGTTGGGGCTCAGCGCTGTCAGCGGTGTTTTCTGTGGAGCTTCTGACAGTTCCGTAGAAGTCGTGGATAAGTGCGCTGAGTTCCGTCTTGGTGATTTGTTTAAAATCTGTGCTGCAACCCTTTTCACTACACCAGTCACCCAAGCATTTCACTGCCCATTGGGTTTGCTGCACGGTATTTTTTTTTTCATTACGAGTCTTCTCGAATGTGTCAATGTTACATTTCAGCACTTCAGCATGACGTTTCGTATTTGTAGAAGTCTCTCCAAATTGTTCCTCAAACCACTTATCCATCGTCACCCCACCTAGTAAATTGAAATTTAATTTAAACAGTTAAGCCTTTTAATTCTTAAAGGAACACTCCGACTTTTTGGGACTTTAGCCTATTCACCTTACCCCCCAGAGTTAGATAAGTCCATACATACCTTTTTCATCTCCGTGCGTGCTATAAGTCTGTTTGACGCACCCACCGCTAGCCTAGCTTAGCACAAAGACTGGATGTGAATGGTTGCAGCTTTCATACTAATCCAAATGAGTGACAAAATAACGCAAACGTTTTCCTATTTACATGTTGTGGTTTGTATAGTCACAAAGTGTGCAAATATCAAGGCCATATGAGACACAGACATCTTTTAACCGTATAAATAATTCTGAAGGCGAAGCACTGCTACTTGGGCAGAGTGATAACAATCACCTGAGACGCACCGTGACGAGGAGCAGAGAGTTCGCTCAGTGTTTGGGTAACAGAGTCAGCAATTACTAACGTTAGATAGAAAAGCATAGTTTATCATGGGTGTTTGCTTTATTGTATGAGCTGTGACAATAAACAGGGGAGACCAGGTAATACAGTACCATGTTTCATTGATTTCCAACCAAAAACGCACCCAGATTTATAAATATCACATGAATAAATAATTATTATTACAGGAATCAATATATTTTAAATGCAATTTATTAGCTGAACCAAATGTATTCAACAGTATATAATATACAGTATAATTGCATTACTATAGGATAGAATAAGGGGAAAGTAATAGCACAAATTGTTTTTGCACAATGAACTCACAGCCTATCGTACCCTTTTGCACGCTCAAGTTCGTTATTTCCATGGTTATTTCAAATTTAGGCTACTACAGAACCAGAAAAGAATATAAGCAGGGTGCAAGTTCAACGCGGTGAACGTGCTCGTTTTTTTTCCAAGCGCGTCCGCACCGCATCAAGATAAAAACATATTCATACCCTAATCATATAATAGTGTCACTAACGTTACATTAGATCTGGCTAATGGCACTGTTACAGTAGGTCATCTAAAAACATAACGGAACACTTACCTCAGCCGCAGGTGATCCACTTGTCCTGTCTGTGCTATCGATGGGATGGCCGTATCCTTCAGCACATTATGGTCCGTGTGGCAAATTCCATTTTTTCAAAATAGTCGTCCATTGAAATGTACCGAGCAAACATAATGTCCCTTGATAATCTATTTAGGTGTGTTTGGATCAATATCCAGAGTAAGTAAGCCATTTCTTCATCCAGTCAGCGTTTTTAGTTGGAATTCTGTGAAACATGGTATTACCTCCCCTGTTTACTGTCGCAGCTATTTACAATAGAGCGAAAACCCATGACTCTAAACTACGCTTTTACTATTTATAAATTGCGTGTCTCAGGTGATGCGGTTATCACACCGTCAAAGTAGCAGTGCTTCGCCTTCAGAGAATAGTTCCCAGGTTTTATATGGTTAAAAGATGCCTGTGTCTCATTTGACTTTGTTATTTGCACACTCTGTGACTATACAAATCACAACATGTAAATAGGAAAACATTTGCGTTATTTTGCCACTCATTTGGATTAGTATGAAAGCTGCAACCATTCACATCGAGTCTTTGTGCTAAGCTAGGCTAGCGGTGGGTGCGTCAAACAGACTTATAGCACGCACGGAGATGAAAAAGGTATGTATGGACTTATCTAACTCTGGGGGGTAAGGTGAATAGGCTAAAGTCCCAAAAAGTCGGAGTGTTCCTTTAAGTTTTTTTCTATGTTTATGTTGATATGTGTGGTTGCTAAGGGTGTTGTTAAGGGCGCAGTGATAAATAGAACCGTTGGGGGAAGCGGTCATAGCCTGTCATAGCGTGTTTTATCGTGAAAAAAGCACAGCTATTGACCCATCAGAATCAAGAATGGGAACTAACTGTTTTATAAGGACTAGTATCTAAAGAATAAGCACTAGTAGCCAATGAATAAGTACTAGTACTTAATGAAATAGATACTACGGCTTGCCATAAGAACATCTCCAATGTGCATAAATAATGTATAATAAATAAGTTATTGCATTCATGTCCTCTCTTTTTTCAGCTGTTCGTGAGATGCTGTTGACTGCGATCAAGGAAATGAAGGTTGGGAAAGGAGCATCAATCAATGCCATTTTTGCTTATCTAAGGACCATGTACAAGTACGACACCCTAAAGAACCGTAACCATATTAAGAAAATCTTGACCAAACTCATTAGTGAGAACATTGTGGAACAGATCAAAGGACGAGGGCTAGCAGGATCCTTCAAACTGGGGAAGAACTACAAAGAAAAGAAGAGGAAGCCCGCCGCTCATCGAACTGTGTGTAATTTTCACTTCTGTAGAGATTTTTTTTGTTGTGTATTATAAATATCGAAAACATTTTTTATTATATATTAGTATTTATTATTGTTTTTTTAACCAGGGGAAAATCTTATTTTAAAGGATTAGCCAAGATAGGAGCCAAAAAAAACCCCCACAAAACCTATACAAATAAGATTGTAAAAAGATTCAACATTAAAAACATTTACAATTCTTTGACTCATCTTCCATGTCTTTCTAGTTATGTCTTTAAAATCTGTTTGAAAAAGTTGATAGCGGATACTATTCTTATTGTGCATTTAAGGAACAATATTTTCTAGCATAAGGATGTTAGAGATAGTTTACCCAAAACGTTTTTTTTTAAAGAATAATAGTGAAAATTTTCTAACATTTAAAGACTATTGAAATGTGAAATGAAACACACTTTTTCATGTTTTGTACTATTTTTGCAGAAATCATTTGACAAGGCCACTCCCAGGAGAACATCTCGTCGAGTTTCTACTCCGGATAAAGAGGCATCGCTGACCTCTTATACCACAGCATCGGATTCTGAAGACAGCGTGGCTCCTCTCCTCACAGAAGAACTGAAGAGTGAGTCAGGTTCCCTTCTGGACGCAGAGAATCCACTGCAGAAGACGTCAGTAGACATCACAGATGAAGATGATAAAGAAACAGCAGACAAACCCCAACACCAAATGACAAAAAACATTCATATTGAGAGTACTGAAGCAGATCTTACTCAAAACTCAAAGCCTGAACCTGAAACCCCAACTAGAGCGTCTGTGATCCCATTTAACACCTCAGATTACCGCTTTGAGTGCATCTGTGGAGAGCTCGGGTTGGTGGACTATAAGCCTCGGGTTCAGTGCCTAAATTGTCTGCTGTGGCAGCACGCGGAGTGTGTCAACTATAAAGAGGAGAACCTAGACACAACCCCGTTTTATTGCCCTCATTGTCTGGTGGCCATGACACCTGTGTCTACTGGGGCCACTCTTATCATCTCACCCAGCTCCATCTGTCACCAGTGGGTGGACGAAATTAACCGGCACATTCATACCTCCTCCCTTAGAGTGCTGGTAAGGACCAACTAGAGAGCTACTACTACTATTTAGTCAGTTTAACCTGTAGTGGGGACCTGCATTGTTTATTTAAAAGACTTAAAGGGATAGTTCACCCAGAAATGAAAAATATGTCATTAGTACTTTTCACAATATAGATTGCATCAAAGCAGCTTCACAGTATCAATCAAAACATAATAACCATGTTCGTTTCTTATTGAAAAAAAACATCCATGTTTGTTAGAGCTGTGTCCTAAAACTCCATCAAGTGACCTAATGGTGTCCTAAAACTCCATCAGGTGACCCAATGGAGAAAAATAAAAACCTTCAAGTGACCTAATAGTGTCCTAAAACTCCATCAAGTGACCTAATGGAGAAAAAAAAAAACCTTCAAGTGACCTAATAGTGTCCTAAAACTCCATCAAGTGACCTAATAGTGTCCTAAAACTCCATCAAGTGACCTAATGGTGTCCTAAAACTCCATCAGGTGACCTAATGGTGTCCTAAAACTCCATCAGGTGACCCAGTGGTGAAAAAATAAACCTTCAAGTGACCTAATAGTGTCCTAAAACTCCATCAAGTGACCTAATGGTGTCCTAAAACTCCATCAGGTGACTCAGTGGTGAAAAAAAAACCTTCAAGTGACCTAATAGTGTCCTAAAACTCCATCAAGTGACCTAATGGTGTCCTAAAACTCCATCAGGTGACCTAATGGTGTCCTAAAACTCCATAAGGTGACCTAATGGTGTCCTAAAACTCCATCAGGTGACCTAATGGTGTCCTAAAACTCCATCAGGTGACCTAATGGTGTCCTAAAACTCCATCAGGTGACCCAGTGGAGAAAAAAAAAACCTTTGGAGAACCCAGGCTCAGTCGGGGGCCAGTTCTCCTCTGGCGTTTATGAACTAGAGGCCTAATTTACAGTAACTGTACTGTAAAAATGTATATGAACACAAAAGAAGATATTTTGAAGAATGTCTATAACAGTTGGTGGGACCCATTGACTTCCAAATAAAAAAAAAAATGATGTGCATGCATAAATCACGTATGATTAATACTGCAGTATTTACTTGAAACTTGTTTTTAGGTGTATCAGGGCGTGAAGAGACATGGTTTCATCCAACCCCACATTCTGGCTGAGCAGGATGTGGTCATCACCACTTACGACGTGCTGCGCACTGAACTCAATTACGTCGACATCCCCCACAGCAACAGCAAAGACGGCCGTCGATTCCGCAACCAGAAGCGCTACATGGCCATACCGAGCCCACTAGTGGCCGTGGAGTGGTGGCGCGTCTGCTTGGATGAGGCTCAGATGGTGGAGTGCACCACAGCTAAGGTCATCACATCAGTCACATTAATATTACTGATATTTATCCTGTTCATAATCTCAGAAACTGCACAATCCTTTTTATGAAATAGTTTATCATCTGTACAGGCAGCAGAAATGGCTTTGCGTCTCACATCTGTTAATCGTTGGTGTGTCAGTGGAACACCTGTGCAGAGAGGTTTGGAAGGTAAGCAGAATTAATATTTCATTCAAAAAAAAGTCTCGATACACACTACTGTTCAGAAAAAAACATTTGTTAATATTTTCATGGAATATTTTTGTATGTCCAAGTTGTTCTATTGGGTGTTTATATATAACAAGTTCTGTCATGAAACTCTAGATGGCGCTGGGTGTTAGGTCCTTAAAGGGTTAGTTCACCCAAAAATGAAAATGATGTCATTAATGACTCACCCTCATGTCGTTCCAAGCCCGTAAGACCTCCGTTCATCTTCAAAACACAGTTTAGGATATTTTAGATTTAGTCGGAAGAGCTTTCTGTCCCTCCATTGTAAATGTATACACGATATACTGTCCTTGTTCATAAAGGCAATACAGACATCATTAAAGTAGTCCATGTGACATGAGTGGGTTAGTTTTTTGAAGCATCGAAAATATTTTTTTGGTCCAAACATAGCAAAATCAACGACTTTATTCAGCATTATATTCTCTTCTGGTTCTGTTGTCATTGCCTGTTCACGATTCCGCAATGACGCTGCTGACGTGTTATCTTGTGCGCCCGAGCTTCGTTTACAGTCTGATGGAGACGCGCGCTGTATTCAAGCTTTTCTACATTGTTTGTATTTTGGTATTGCAATATTTTTTAAAAATGGTTCGTATGTGTGCATGTCGCGGATGTCCTAATCGTCCTAATCGGGCGCACAAGATAACACGTCAGCAGCGTCATTGCGGAATCGTGAATGAGCAAAGACAACAGAACCGGAAGAGAATACAATGCTGAATAAAGTCGTTGTTTTTGCCATGTTTGGACCAAAAAGTATTTTCGATGCTTCAAAAAATTCGAACTAACCCATTGATGTCACATGGACTACTTTGATGATGTCTGTTGGCAGTGCCTGTACACAACCATCATTTAATGATAAAAATCAATCCAGTGGTTTTGTTTTAATCTCCGTATATGTTTTCCCCTGTCTCAAATCGAGCCGTTTCACTGTATGATGTCACACGGCGCATGACGCTCCTCCCACGATTGTTGATTGACAGCAGTGTTTTAAAGCCAAGTGTCTACCAAAGTGTTTTTTCACGCGCCTGGCATATGTTTTCAATTGTTTTCAATGGGAGCGCCGCGTTTTTTAAACGCCATGAGCATACCGAGGCGCTGAGCGTTTTTATCACGCTGATTTTTCACACTGTTTTTTACTGGTCGCTGGGAGTTGAAAAATGTTCAACTTTGGATAAAACGCAGCGCTCACTGTCACTTTTTACCCAGCCGTCCAATCACAGTGGAGGAGGGGCGGGACTAATACCACACCGACCAACTGTCACAACATTCAACTGCTGCGGATATTCTGTATCATAGCAACGAAACGTCTCAACGGAAAAAACGCTGCACTGCCAAAACGCTCTCAAGCGCCCAAAGCACGGCATCTTCAGTAGAGCGTCTAGCGTTTTCAGCTGGCTAAAAACGCTTTGTTGGACACACGGCCTAACACAGACCCGCCCTGAGCGAGCTATCAACATAGTCCGTCATTGTTGATACGCTGGATCAGATTGTGTTGTTCTGTTCTTGGGTGCAATAACAAACACAGAAATCATTCTGATGTTCCTAAATTTGAACCGCTGAAGACGCAGCGGCTGAGTTTTGTTTACGATTGGAATATTCCCCCACGATCAACGTCGATACTTTCATGTTTGCGCGAATCCTTTCTCAGCAGACTGCTTTATAAACCAGGAACAGTATATAGCTGGTTTTGTTAAGAGGCTGCTCCTGAAAAAATAATCGGTAGGTTACCAACTATGTATGTTCCCTCTGCACCTCCAGAAGTAAGTGTAAAGTTTTATTAACCTTTATTTTAATTAAAAGTTTTTCATGACCATTTGTTGTAACGTCAATCTGTCAATGAACTAACATACATCAGTAAACACAGCATTCCTATCTCACTACTCTACCCTGCCAGTACATACAAAGATAGATCAAAGTGACATTACGTTAACCAACCATTCAGAAACGTCCTCAAGCCGAACTTTATTGCGGCCGTCATCTTGTTCCGGGTGCGACTCCAGTTCAAACTGATACGGTTGCACAGACTCCCGCTGCCATTCTTTCTCCAAAATATCCCTCAACTGTTGTCAATGCAACACTTGACATGCGCTGTGTCTACGCCCGCAGAACAGAGGGGCGGGGTTTATTATTTAAAGGCATATGCACTAAAACGGAGTGCTGAAAACAGAGCTGATTTTGACTAGGTAAAATTAGTGTTTTCTTAAAATACTAATGAGAATTTTTAATAAAAGTATATTACAAAGTTTTCATTTAGACCCTAAACATTCATATTAACTTGTACAAAAATGACATTATATTATATGTATAAATATGTATAGTAAAATGTACTGTATGGCTGTACTCTAGAAGAGAATGAAATCAGCATGTTTCCTAAATATCTGCAAACATATTATGGTATTGTTATGGTTTAGTAGAGCGAAAAAAGTTACATACAGCACCTTTAAAAGAACTTCCCAGTTCGTTTGACATTTTTGCCACTGTGGTCACAAATAAAATATCTTGGCATTAACGTCAGCAATGAATCAGCCTAATATAATCAGAGGACAGTTTTATTATGTGATGATAATCATTTTTGATTTATATGTTATCTTTTAGACTTGTATGGTCTTGTCCTGTTCTTGGGAGTTGATCCCTATTGGGTGAAGTACTGGTGGGACCAGTTACTGTATCGCCCGTATCGCCATGGCAATACAGGACCACTCTACAATGTCATTGGTCAATTACTGTGGCGATCTGCCAAGAAAGATGTCATTGATCAGGTTAGCAGGTTAAATCTTTGACTTTAATTGTCTAATCTTAACCAACCTCTCATCTGTGCTTTAATTTGGTGTCATATACTTCATTTCCAGATCCAAATCCCCCCTCAAACAGAAGAGACCCATTGGCTCAACTTCTCCCCAGTGGAAGGACACTTTTACCACCGTCAGCATGAGGTTTGCTCCCAGGATGCTCTTGTCAAGCTAAGGAAGATCTCTGACTGGTCACTAAAGCTGGGTAGTTTGGACCGACGTACCGTCAGTACCATATTATACCCTCTTCTGCGTCTACGCCAGGCCTGCTGCCACCCGCAAGCTGTCAGAGGAGAATTTCTGCCCTTCCAGAAGAGGTTCTTACAAAAAGATTTTAGATGTAGTTGATCAGTGTTTTGGGAGATGAAGTCTTTCGGTTCATTTTATCCACATTGATTTGTTTGTTTCCTGTTCCAGTACAATGACAATGGAGGAATTGCTAAAGTCGTTGCAGAAGAAATGTCGGGTGGAGTGTGAAGAAGCCCACAGGCAGCTGGTGTGTGCTCTGAATGGTCTGGCTGGAATCCACATCATTAGAGGTGTTGTGAGCCTTGTTTCTGAACACCTACAGTCTGTACCTGTACCTGTACCTGCCTCGACTGCTGTAGACATTAATAACGGTTTCCTGTCCTTGCCAGGAGAGTTTGCAGATGCAGCGGAGATGTACAGGGATGTGTTACGATCATCTGAAGAACATAAAGCAAGACTGAAAACTGATTCCCTTCAGGTAAATCATTCACATCTCTGTCTGTCGTTCTGTTCTCTCTATCCATTGTTTTTTATGTCATTCTATTCGCTCTATCTATCGTTTTGTCTGTCGTTATAATCGCTTTATGTTCTGTCTGTCATTCTGTTTTGTCTATCGTTCTATTCGCTCCATCTAACGTTCTGTTCGCTCTATCTATCGTTCTTTTCTCTTTCTTTAGAAGTCTGTTTCTCTATCTATCTTCTGTATCATTCTATTCTCTCTATCTATCTATCTATCTATCTATCTATCTATCTATCTATCTATATCATTCTATTCTCTATCTATTGTTATGTCTATCGTTCTATTCGCTCCATCTAACGTTCTGTTCGCTCTCTGTCGTTCTTTTCTCTCTATTTAATAGTCTGTTTCTCTATCTCTACTGTATTCTATCTATCTATCTATCTATCTATCTATCTATCTATCTATCTATCTATCTATCTATCTATCTATCTATCTATCTATCTATCTATCTTTTCTCTCTCTCTATCTATCATTCTTTTCTCTCTCTCTATCTATCATTCTTTACTCTCTCTATCTATATAGCTTTCATTCTTTTCTCTCTCTCTCTCTCTCTCTCTCTCTATCTATCTATCTATCTATATATGATGTTCTATTTGCTTAATCTATCGTTCTGTTCGTTCTATCGTTCCATTCACTTTATCCATTCATCCAGTTCCAAATCCTCTTTTTTTCTTTCTTTTTTTTTACTTATTTGAATTCATTGTTCCAAATTCATCTTTATTGTTGTTTTGCACAAAGTTTTGTCACATCGTATTAAAAAGATGTTAAATTGTTCCAGAGTTTTTTTTTTTTTGTGTGCAATTTATTGTTGCTTCTTAACGTTATTTCTTTTTTTTGTCTGAAATTATAGAGGCTTCATGCAACTCATAATCTGATGGAGCTTCTAAATGCAAAGCATCCTGGGATTCCACCAACCCTGAGAGATGACAGTCTCAAAGAAGAGGTTGGCTTTAATATAATACATTTTTTAATAAGAAACAGAGTTCAGTCTGCTATCATTTCTAGTTCCATGTGTTTTCTTCCTAGGCTGAGCAGCTGAAGCAGCATTACATGGCGAAGGTGAATTCGGAGGTTTCAGAAGCACAACAGAACCTGCAACCTGTTCTTCAGCACATCAAAGAGCTCAAACGCAAGGTAAAAGCTCAGTTATCATAGAGCTTATTTTTCATCTTGTGTTTTAGTTGAGTTCTTTTTGTATTCAGTATAAAAATTGATAATTGTGTGCTTTGCCCTAGGTGAACGTTCGCTCTCCCTGGTGGCTGGATGTCATACAGCAGGCCATTCAGTACTCTATGGATGATGACCTTGTGGGCCGCATCCAAAATGAGCTCACTTGCAGTTATAAACAACAAGCCAACAAGCTCTCTTTGGCAGACAAGTAATCTTCCTCCATTCACTTTAATCCTTTTTAACAGACAAATGTTTTTTAATGCATAAATTACCATTTAACAAAAACGTCTCATTCATAGGTTTCGAGATGCGCGTGGTCTTCAGTTTCTGCTCAGCACTCAAATGGATGATTTGATGAAATCACAGAAAACGGTCCAGGATGCTGTAAAGAAGCTGGAGGGGCCGCCATCTCAGCAAGTCATAGAGGAAACAACACTTTGCCACCTACGACCTGTTCGACTGCCACTGAACAAGTAAAATCTTTTCAATGTTTTATAGGTGAAGTGCACACTTTATATTACAGTTGCAGCAGGACCAAACTGAATTGGAAAAAAAAGACTGTTTCCAACAGTGTGATTCAAAAATCTAAGGCCCCTAAGATGTACTACATTTTCCATTGCACATTATAACAGTTATGCATTGCCTCTATGTTCAATATGTTTTGTAACTGTCATTGTTTTTGCAATTTTTGCTGCAATTTTTGAAATTACACATTACACCTTAAACGTCATACTTGCAAATTGTTGTAATTGTTCACCTCATTTGAATTTAAAATTTGTTCTTTTATTATTTTTTCCATAGCTGTGTGTTTTGCAAAGCTGATGAACTTTTTACGGACTATGAATCAAAACTTTTCTCTCACACGTAAGTTACAATATCACATTAAATCAACTGGTCATTAGATATTGTGCAATTTATGAAATTTCACCAAGAAATGAAAGTTCTGTCATCATTTACTCACCCTCATGTCGTTCCAAACCCGCATGACTTTTCTTCTTCTGTAGAACACAAAGATGTTTAGCAGAATGCTAAGCCACTTTCATCCATAAAATATAGGGTTACACTTTATTTTAATGTGTCCCTCCCTGTTACAGTGTAATTTCAGATTTAAGTACTTTGTAATAATAATTATCTACATTAACTACTTACTATAGGGTTAGGGTAGGATCAGGATTTGGTTGAGGGTTAATTGCATGTAATTATGCCTGATTTATGGGTATTCCTATAAATCGTATTAGGTATAGGTATAAAAATATAGGTATCACTATATGGCGTGGTGATGGCGCAGTGGATAAGACACATTCCTTTGGTGTGAGAGACCCAGGTTCGAATCCACTGTGAGACACCAATGTGTCCCTGAGCAAGACACTTAACCCCTAGTTGATCCAGAGGCGTGCGACCTCTGACATATATAGCAGTTGTAAGTCGCTTTGGATTAAAGCGTCAGCTAAATAAATAAATGTAAATACATGTAGCGTGTGTAACAAGGACACATTAAAATAAAGTGTTACCAAATAAATATAGTATCATCATAAATAATAAATATCATAAAAGTTGTCAAAATGACTGAATACATTATATTCCAAGTCATCTAAACCAATAAAAGAAAGTCATGGGTTTCTAAAGACATTTGGGTAAACTATTCTTTATAAAATTCTATATGCAGAAAGCAAAGTCGGTAAACTTTATTTTTTGGTGACACTTTACATTAAGGTTTCATTATTAACATTAACTACATTAGCATGAACAGTACTTCTATAGCATTTATTAATCTTAGTTAATGCTAATGTCTACTGTCATTGTGAACTAACATGAACAAACAACTAACAGTTGTTTTTAACATTAACAAAGTCTAACAAATGCTGTAAAAATATATTGCTCATAGTTAGTTCATGTTAAGTAATGCATTAACTAATGTTAACAAGTCAGACCTTATTATAAAGTGGAGGTTTTTTTAATGCGTTTTGGGCAGAGTAAAGGGGCAGACGGCCATCTTTGAGGAAATGATCGAAGATGAGGAAGGTCTGGTAGACGACAGACTCCCCACCACCAGTCGAGGATTGTGGGCGGCCAGTGAGACCGAACGAGCCCTTAAAGCCACCCTGTCCTTTGCCAAGGTCCGCCGCTTGGAGTCTGGCCTCATAGAGGAGGGAAACTCTTTCATGGAGCTCTTTGAGTCCTGGAAGAAAGAATATAAGGTTTGTGATCGATTTCTCATTGCATGATGAAGTGCTTTAATGCATTCATCAAAATGCCTGTCTCACGACCATCTGGTGCTCTTTCAGCTGCTGCACGAGTACTGGATGTCCCTGCGGGATCACGTCTCGGCCATAGATGAGCTGGGCATGGCCACCGAGAGGCTGCGTGTGCGGTTACCTGATGAGCCCAAACCCAAAGTGCTGCATATCATTGAACCTCACGAGGTGATGATGACGACAAAAAGAATAAATCTGTCATCCTAAATGTGACTAAAGAGACGTAAGAGCCTTTAGTTTGTCTCTTTTTACATGTGAACAGGTGGAGCAGAATAGGATAAAGCTGCTCAATGACAGGGCAGTGGCCAAATCACAACTGCAAAAAAAGCTTGGGCAGTTTCTCTATCTCAATAACCTGGAGAAGGTAAAACATGATGTCTTTCTCATTTTAAAGGAACTTTAGTAATGTATTTACACAAAAGTCTATCCATTTCCATCCTCTCTCTGAACCTTGGACCGAAGTATTTTTTGCTGCTATACCTTTAAGAGTTCTATCTTAAAGGGATAGTTCATCCAAAAATGAAAATTAGCCCATGATTTACTCACCCTCAAATGTATATGAGGTTCTTTTTTCAGACGAATACGAGTTATATTAAAAAATCTGGCTTTTCAGAGTTTTATAATGGCAGTGATTGGCTGTTTCTGTTTTGAAGTCCATAAAAGTGCATCTATCCATCATAAAAAGCTCCACACGGCTCCGGGGAGTTAATAAAGGCCTTCTGAAGCGATGCATTTGAGCCATGTGGAGCACTTTTATGATGGATAGATGCACTTTTATGGACTCAGAAACAGCAAAAAGAAGAATATATCATATACACCTAAGGTGAGTAAGTCATGGGCTAATTTTCATTTTTGGGTGAATTGTCCCTTTATGGCAAGATGCAACAGGTAAAACCATGTTTTGTTTTTTGTTTTTTTTCATGCACTGTTCCGTAACATGTCTTCTTTCAAACTAGTAGAATGAAAACATAAAAAATGCACATTTAAGTGTTTATTTTATTACACTTTATCTATTTGCCTTTGGAGATTTAAATTATAATACGTATATTTAAAGGCCGTTTTCTCAACAACAACAAAAGATTTTATGTACTGAGCCAGAAATCTCAATTTTATTAGCTCTTACTTGCACCAAACTGTCTATATTCTGAAGGTTTTTAGTTCATATAACATTTACCTGAACTAAACACAACATTTTATTCCTAAAAACATGGTGAATGTTTGTGATTTATGGAGTGATAAACAGAAATATCCCAAAACCCCCTAGTAAATTCTTTAGCTCTGTCAACAACGAGCTCTATCTAATTTTCAGATTTCTCTTCTAAAAATGTATGCAAATGACAAATTAGTAAGATTAGCAAGTCGATATTTAGTAAGATGGATGATGCATATAATTGTGTATTTAAACAACATTTCAGATCATTTGTAATACAAAATAATTCTCTCTACGTACTGTGATTATTCAACTAGTGAAAGTCTGGTGAAATCTTATCAGCTACATTGTTTACTTTATTCACCTGTAGTGTCTTGTCTTAAAGATACATTACACAACTTCTGTCATGACTGGCTGAACTGTCTTCATGTGAAACGAGAAGTAGAAAAGTCTCTAGTTTAGCTTCTACAAAAGTTCTGGGTGGATTAGGGATGGTATTTTACTTTACGATGTAAAATTGAGCCTGTCTACATAGTATATTAAAACATATATTCAAGCATGATATGTCTTTAAGATGTAGTGCATGTATAGATGAACAAAACTGTTGCATTTGATGTAGTAATTCATCTATCGATTGATTCAGTCTCAGGATAAGTCCACTGGCGGTCTGAATCCAGAACCATGCCCAATCTGTGCTCGACCACTGGGTCAGGAGGTAAAATAAAAACAAAAATGAGTTTGGCAAGTGTATTTGTATGTATAGACTCTGAGGGTGTTTTTGATTGATAGTGGGCCGTACTGACCTGTGGACACTGTTTCTGTAACGAGTGCATCGCCATCATCGTGGAGCAGTACAGCGTCGGCAATCGTCGTCGAGCCATAAAGTGCGCCATATGCCGGCAAACCACTTCACATTCAGAGATCTCGTATGTGTTCACCACTGAGAGCGCCCACCAGGGGCAGGACATCCCTGTGAAGGTCAGAGGCAATTCCTGCTTTGTTTTTAAGCTTTGAATGGTTTTTACAATGCAGGTAAATACAAGTGTTCTCACTGGGATGAAACACTGATGTGAATTTTCAGGCAGGTCACATATGATTGTGGTTGTGGCATCTCTGTAATCTCATTATCCTGTAGGGTAGCCACTCCACGAAGGTCGAAGCTGTGGTTCGAGTCCTAAAGAAAATCCAGATGACCGACCCGGGAGCCAAGTCTCTTGTGTTCTCCACGGTAACGCTCTCATTAAATGAGTTACTACATCAAACAGCAGACTACAGCTCTTAACCTTTGACCTTACATTTACGCCTCATCTGTCAGTGGCAGGGCGTCCTGGACATCATTGCGAAAGCCCTTTTCGACAACAACATGGAGTTTTCACAGATCAACGGAATTCACAAATTTCAGGTTTGTGTTGAATATGACAATGTTGCAACAAAATATGATGGGTTTTTTTCCCTTTGCTTTATATATACTGTATATATATATATATATATATATATATATATATATATATATGTGTGTGTATATATATATATATATATATATGAAGAGTTCAGATGCAAAAGCCTCTAAATGGCATTTGAAATTTTCTTCTTTAATGATGGTTTTTATCAAACTTGTATATTTAAGTTCAGTAATTTCACTTAAATCACAATTAATAGGTAATTATCATTGCAATTTAAGTGAAATCACTGAACTTAAATATACAAGCTTGATAAAAAATGATCATTCTAGAAGAAAATTTCAAATGGCATTTAGAGGCTTTTGCATCTGAACTCTTCATATATAATTTTTTTTTCTTCTTATTAATGAGATGCAAAACTCTGGAAATCAGATAATTCATTTTAACCCATCCTGTTTTTTGTTTTATTTTTTTTTATGTATAATATTAATTTATTAATTTCAAATGAAACACAAAACTGGACATTAAGTTAATCAACTTTAAAAAAAAACATTTTGTTATTTAAATGTACTATTTATTTAATTTATTTTAAATGAGACATATTTAATTTATTTTAAATGAGACATACAAACCTCTGGAAATTAAATACATTTTGGAACTGTTTTTTATTTATTATTATTTTGGTTTATTTATCTATTTATGTTTGTAATTATTTTATTTCCGATAAGACAAACTATGAAAACTGCACTTATATATGTTATTCAGATAGTTGAGTTCAGTTAATGGTTCATGACAATCTTAAAATGGCCAAATTTCATCCAAATAATTGGACTGTTTGATTATCCCCCACTGCATTTCTTTAACCACAAAGCTGTCTCCCCATAATACATATAAAATGTGAAATGATGATAGATGCATTAATTTTTTAGGAGAATCTGAGTGCTTTTAAATACGAGGATAAGATCAACATCTTGCTGATGCCGCTGCACACGGGCTCAAACGGGCTGAACATCATCGAGGCGACGCATGTGCTGCTGGTGGAGCCCATCCTAAACCCCGCCCACGAGCTGCAGGCCATCGGAAGAGTGCACCGGATTGGCCAGACCAAGTAGGCATCAAACCATTCACAATGTGTTCAGCACGCTCTCAACCCATGTTGCTCACATGAATCATGAATCTGGCTTGCAGCATATTTCTTTTATCAATAAAATGGCCCAAAGTCCAAAAAGGTTTTTGCATATTTAAACACAACAAAAACAATGAGACCTGTAATGTTAGCAGATTATTCAAATTTTGTTCATCAATTTTCCAGACCCACTTTTGTTCATCGGTTTCTGATCAAGTCCACCATTGAGGAGCGAATGCAAGCCATGCTAAAAACAGTAGAAAAGAGGTGAGTCCTTCACACACAAGGCGGGCATTTTAAATAATTAGTCCTTGAAATCAAAATTATACTGACTTTTAGTCTATGTATGTTCAATCCTATATAACCATCCTCATACAAGTGCACTGCTAGAAGTTCCCCTTTTTTTAAAAAATACCTCCCACCCTTATTCCCTGGTCAACACAGGAGAGAAAACCTAATTTGTCAAGTCACTTAATGGGATCAGAGTAATTGTACTCTTAAAGGGATAATTCACACTAAAATGAACATTAAGTCATAATTAAAAAAAATAAATAAATGTCTAGCTCTCGCTCATCCATATTATAGCAATGAATGGTGAAAAAGCAGTGAAAAAGCATCAAGCTTTGTTTAAAAAAATGCAAAAGTATCACAGAATGATCCCATGTTGTATATTCCGAGTGTTCTGGGCATATACGATATGGTTTGGTGAAAAACAAATCTAAATTTAATGAATTATTAAACAAAATTCTTGACCTTGGCCTTTGGTTTGCTCTGCATGCCTGCAATGACTTTATAAGCGCTGCAGTAACTAACTAATAACAATAACTAACCCTAAACCAAACCCTAACTTTTACTCTATAGTAAGTATATGTAGTTAATATCACTTAGTACTCATTTGAGTTAATACAATGTAACTATGTCACCTTAAAATAAAGCGTAACCCACTTGGAATATACAACACGATTCACATGGGATCATTCTTGATCATTTTGCGTCTTTAAAAAAAAAAACTCGCCATTTACTGCCATTATGTGTACGAGCATGAGCAGAACTTTTATTTTATTTTATTTTTATTAAATTAAATTAAGTTCTTTTTATAAAAGAAAGAAGGTTGTATGCCATTTGAACAACACCAGTAAATTATGACTTGATTTTAATTTTAAAGTGAACTATAATTCTTCTCATAAATATAATTTATAACAGCAAATAGACAGTTTTTCATCATCACTTTTATTCTGTAATTACTTCTTGCTGACTGTAAATAGATAATAAAATAAATAAATAAATAATAATAATAATAATTTATAAGCATATTTACATTTTTTTTATTTATTTTTTTGCTTTGTTTACTTAAAAAATGACCTTGACTAATCTGTCTCAAATCAACATCTTCTTCAGTCATGGTTCCACGTCCATGAAGCATTCGGAGGCCTCCGTATTTACAGTGGCGGATCTGGCCGAGCTGTTCACAGAGGATAGCGAGGCTCTTGAGTAAATGTCTCAGTCCAGAGGCCAGTAATGTGAACACTACACTAACACCAGCCAGGAGACGAGCTGACCGCTGCTCTCCAGCACGCCAATATATTTGCTTTGCACATTCCCCTTTCTATACAATCTGTCCCGTGGTGTAATTTATTCATTATACTCGATGTGGAAAAGAAAATAATTGAATGTATAAGTCTTGTATCTCTGTTTGTTTTCTAGATCGATTGATAGTAGGTGCGATTTTTATTAATGCCTTGTTGTGCATAAACAAATGTTGTTTTTTTAATAATGTTTTATTTAAATTAGAATACATTTCTAATGTTAAACAAGCTGTACAGTGGATTCGTTTTATCATTAGCACTCGTATATTTGTGATTAATCGAACAAGCGTTTTATAAGAAGCCCACTGTAATCACAGTCTTGTCAATCTATGCTGTTGAGTTGATAATTCCAATAATATGTCAGACATCATGTTATGCGCTTGTCCTGTTTTATTTTTTAATCTAAATGCGTTTTATGGTCTTTTCCATTATGTTTAGGAAGGAAATCGTTTGACTTTACTGCACTGATCTTTGGGGGAGTGTCTTCCGTTCAGACGCTCCATTCAGTGGATTGTCTGCAGAAAGTAGTTGCAGACCATGTAGGAACATTTATCTGGTGCTATTTGCAAGACAAAAGACACAAGAGTGTCTGTAAAACTCTTCCAATAAAGACCACTTGTAAAAAGTAAAACCAGAAAGTAAAAGGAAAAAAAGAGACGTTCTTTGTCTTGGAATTACCATGTACAACGACATAGAAACTGTATTCTTTCTGTTAAGCTGTACTGAAAAAGATTTGAATATCTTTTTTATGATAATATCATTTTGTGATAACCAAAATACAGTCTTGCACATTTTCAAATGGAACAAAATTAACCAATAAATTGACAGAAAGAGAAGCATTTTTTTTGTATATTTCCATTGTGCAGTTTCCCATGCCAATTAGAATGTCATTATTTCTCTCAGGGAAACTCTTAGCAGACTGATCATTTTATTGAATATCCTCTTAAAATTCAATTCAGGCATTGATTTAGGGTGTCCGTGGGTCTTAAAAAGTCTTAAATTCATGAAGTTATGGCATTAAATGTTGCATACATTGCAAAAAAATGCTTGTTTTCCTCAGTGTTTTTGTCCTGTTTTCCCAATACAAATATCAAAACATTTGATACGTTTCCTTGAGATGCAATTGAAGTCTTCAAAAATGTATATCTCCAGTAAATGCATCTTGATTTAAAGGGTTAGTTCACCCAAAAATTCTGATCTCAAAAACAGATCTCATTCCCCATTGACTACCATAGTAGGAAAACATACATACTATGGTAGTCAATGGGGAATGAGATCTGTTTGATTAAAACATTCTTCCAAATATCTTCCTTTGTGTTCAGCAGAACAAATAAACACATAGAGGTTTGGAACAACACGAGGGTAAGTAAATACTGACAGAATTTTCATTTTTGGGTGAACTAACCCTTTAAGAATAATATGGAAATGGAAAATACTGAGGAAGAACATCCTTTGTTGCCATGTGATCAGAAGATACAGTAAAAGTTATGTCCATATTCTTGTGGTTTATAGCAGAGGTATTGTTTTTTTGGAAGATGAATTTAAAACTAATGGATATCTGTTGGAAGTGGTTTTCAAACTCGTGTTTGTCCCTAGACATTAACGTTTCGAGAACGTGTTGACGTATTGTGTTCCCTTCAAATTTTCTTGACGTCCTCTTAAAAAGGTCTTGAAAAAAGTCCCTGTTAACTGCAATGCCATCACTTTGCATTTTACCATCTAACATTTGAAAATCTCCCTCACAAGGTTCAACGACTGACCTCTTTCTCTGTCCAAACAGTCTTAAACACGTCAACTCCATTGCAAAGGTGTCACTGAACTGCCCTTGACTCAGTCTGACGGGATTTCTTTTCAAGCGAGTCGTTGGGGTTCCCGAAACAGTAAAGCGTTTGCCGTGCCCTTTAAAAACCTATACAGACAAAAGAGTGAGATAAAACAAGACACTGCCCGTGTACCTCTGTTCCCTTTGCATGACAAACAAACTCCTTGTCGACCAACGCACTCAGACATGTAGTGTGGTGTCTGCTAAGTGGGTTGTTAGTAGTATTTTTTCTGCCTTTGCTTGAAATCTAGTTGGTCGGTGTTACCTTGGACTCCCCCCAGCTTGTCCTATTCATGTGTGGAATCTCATTGTTGGTGTGGACATCATTCAAGCCGGTGTTCCAAAGCAACTGGAGGTTCCCACTTCATTAGAGCTGTGATTCGAACGTCTGGAGAGACCGCAAGCACTACGTCTGACTCTGACAGCTAGTCGCGGTGATCGCCGAGTAGATTTGGTGGAAAGGGCCGAAGACGGAACTAAATTTCAGGGGAGAAAGAATCCGCTTCAAGGATGACACCTGTTACCCTGGCGCTCACATGGTGTTTGCTCTCAATATGGACTGTAACTTCTGCTGTGCAGTTTGAAGAAAAAGGTAAGTCTAGTCAAACACTTGCATAGAGAAATATTCAGATGCATAGTTTTATTATTGCATGCATATAAACCAGTTTGGATTTGGGGTATACATGTTGGCAAATTTTAGTAAAAGAAACTTTAAAAATGCACTATTTTATATATATTTATATTTTAAATTTATATATATAAATGCACTTTGAAATAACATTTTATATTTATATATCAGAAAATAATATTTGGATGCTATTATTATTATTTTTTTAGTATTTTTTCTTTACTTATGTACCATTGCCATTATTATATACATTAAAAAAAAATACTAATATTTAAACATTCCTTACCGTTTTGTCCTAGAACTCAACGAGACCGTCATTTGCAACAATGATCAGAT